AGTGTATATTTATGTATACACACGTGAGTTTGGTGGATTATATTTTAGCGCAAAATAATAAATAATTCCATTCATTGCGCATCACAAGACCTTTAGCGAGGGCGCCAGATAACGAAGCTACAAGCAATCGGGTTCTAAAATAGTCTTCGTCAGTATCAAAATAGATCCCGTGCCGAATATCAAGCCAAGTTTTCTATTTTTATAGAACAAAATTTGTTGATAAATATTTTGAAGTCTAAATTTTTAGAATACGCTATTGAGTTCATATTAGCATTCTCCCAAAAACTTGCCTGGAAATTTGATTTTATTGTACTTCTAAACAGTTTTCCTCAAAATCTTACTTGTTTAATCAAGGTCTATTTCATTGAATTAATGCTACCATTTGACCGCCAATGTTCCAATTTCGCCTTTCGTTTTCTAATACTTATAAATTAAACGTCTATGTTTGCAAATATACAAATTAGTTTCAGTGAATGTCGTCATAGAAGTCATATTGTTATTTTAAAACAAACTGAACAAAATTCACATTCATTAACAATATTGTGGTAATTTTTCTGTTATGATAATATATTTGAGACGTATTTTTCTTTCATTCTAATGTAAGACAAGCAACAAATTTTGTTATACACAAACAAAACACTACAAAGCGAAAATAAATTAAATTACTTTGAAAATGAATGTTAATGCTGAATTTGCGTCGATTTTTTCAGTAATGATTAAAATAAATAGTTACGCAAGCAGTTTTATAAAAATATATAGACCTTGTTCAGCAATATTTGTCAAGATGCCACACATGTTATTGAAAAAATGCGGTTTGATTTAATATATCTATAAAAATAACCGACGTTTCAAGATCAAATAGAACGGAAAATTAATCGAAGATAGCCCTACAACATGAAAGGAAAATTTTGTTTGCTCTTAAAAACTGAGTTACCGTTTTTGGCACTTTTTGCCCCGTATCTTCGGAACGGGAAGGTTATACCTGCCTTCGCCAAAAACTAATCAGCACGTTTCATTATCAATACGAATCGAATGTTTTTCGAATTATTCAAATCGGTTGGTCGGTGTTACCGAAATCGTCGACGAAAATTTGTATCCGCACACACACACACACATACATCCATTTTTTCTAGGGTACGCCAAAATATTCAAAAATCTTTGAAACATAAAGATATATTACACATTTTCATTTTCGATTTTTTGCGATTATTATAACTTACCCTACGGGAAGTTAATAATTAGAGAAAAATTGCCAATGTGAATTTCCATGAAAGAACATAAAAAAGTCAAATTGGAGAATCTTTTAAAAGCCTCGGAAGTTCATGAAACAGCTTAATTTCAGATAAAATGGAAATGTTGTGGTAATGCTGTTATGGGTCTATATTCGTATGAGTTCGTAGTAACAAACTGCCACATGTGTTTGCTGTGCGAGCAGGTGTTTTACACATAAAATCTAACTTTAAGTATGTGTTATCAATTGTTATTTGATGTTTGTGCATTTTGTAGGTTAGGTTTTATGTATGAAATGTTTGAGCAAATACATAGCTTTTTGACAGTTATAACTGTCAAATTACTATTAACTGTTACTATTAACTCCTACAAATATAGACCAGTAACATAGCACTACCATAACATTTCTATTTTATCCGAGAATTGGCCCCTTAGTCTCAAAGAAAGAAAGGTTCAGGAGAAATATTTTATTTAAATTATTAAATTATAATACAAAAAACATTAACACTTAACGGGCAGGTCGAATCTGTTTTGCCCAGCCTAATTTTTGGACATTTTTCAGGCGATTTAGATGAACGCGGATTTAAAGTATCGCAACTACAATAAATCTTTATAAATCAATAATAACAAACAGATTATAATATAAATATTGGTATTTTTGGCTCTTGATTTGCATCATTTGGCCATTACCTATACAGTTATACCTATATAATTTAGCTATACAATTGTTGACGTTATATATGATACATTGATACTTGTACAATTATGATTATACTTATGGGTTGCTAATGTTGTTATTACAGATAAAACTGTGTATATGTAAGAAAGCCCTAAAAGCATGTTAAGTTGTACTAGGCAAAAAACATGTAAATCTACGTGGCCCATCCGTTAAGTGTTATTAAATTAATATTGATTATAGATACATTTATATAATGCGATTTCCGAGTATTTATGTTATTGCGCAAAAATTCGTCCTTACCCTTATTAAATGCACGTGAGTAAAGGTAGAAATATTGAAGTTGTCGAGATAAGTAGCGAGAGAATTAATTACATTCTACATATTGCGCAATCATTTCCAGCTTTAGCGTCAACTACTCGTTACATTAGTATAAAAGATCATTTTACCTCATTTTCCTTACAATTAGATTAGAAATATTTAGAAGGTGCATATGAATATGCACACATACACGTTCATAAAATAATCATAATTAATAGTCATACACACACACTGTATGCATATGTAAATATGATTCTGTACATAAACATTTTTTTTATTATTAATGTATCTTCAAATTCTCCAAAGTCAAAATTACAAAATCTTCCATTAAAGAGCAACAAATACTATTTTATCACATTTTATAATTATTGATTACGTAGCACCTGATTTCGAATGTACTGACAATGAGCAACCGTACAATACACATCGCACGTGGTTTGAAGTGTCACCTCATATGTAGTATTGCTGACGTGAGCGATTAGTCAAAACCAGTTCCTATTATTTTTGAATCCATTCGGTTTTGTTTTAACCGACCGAATAGAATATTCCTGGACAGACGCACATAGCAACAGATAAGACCGAATGAAGTCACAATTATTAATGAAATCTCTTTACTGAAATGCAAAATCTGTTTTAACAATGCCCTAACTACACAAAAATTCAACTACATATTTCTTGAAAGAAATTATAATAATAATGTATGAAATATGTTTACTAAAATACAGCAATTTGTTACAACAGTGCTTTAAACAAATTATTTCAACTACATTTTTTTTTATTGAACTTATAATTATTCAAAGAAATCCGTTCACTGAAATACAGAATTTTATTGTAACAGTGTCGTACATAAATTATTTCAACTTCATATTTCTTGATTGAAATTATAATTATTCAGGGAAATCCATTTATTGAAATACATAATTTAATGTTCTGATAGTGCTCTTAAATCAATTATTTCAACTACATATTTCTCGACAATGAGATCATCAATATAATTGAATTATTTTTAACAAAATTTTAGTGTCAAGTCTTAGTATCATGATAGAAAAATAGAACGTTCCATTCAACTCATTTGGAAACAGATTAAAGATTGAAAATATTTATTGAATTATGACAAATAATATCAAATATATTTAGAGAAATGTCATTACTCAAACAGTGCCCTTAAATGAATTATTTCAATTATATTTCTCAGAACTCATAAACCTAAGAAATTTATTATCGATTCTGACAAATAATATAAAATTATTTATAATTAGAGAAATGCAATTTCTCAAATAGTGCCCTTACTACATGAATTATTTCAACTACATATTTTTTGACTATGAGAGCCATCAGATCATCCTAGTTAAACTATTTTTGCCATAATTTTGAGTGCCACGTCTTATTGTTAATATGATGATAAAAAAACAGAATGTTCCATTCAAATCATTTGAAAACAGATCGAAGATTGAAATTATTTATTTAATTGTGACAAATAAGAGTCACAAATGTCAATACTCAAAGAGTACCTTTAGTTGAATTATTTCAACTACATACATATTTGTATGACATATCGACTACGGGAGCCAACCATCAGATCATCAACCCAATTCAACCATTTTTGCCAAAATTATTTGTATTTAAAGAAATAAAATAATTTTCAGAAGTTAGCACAAATTCTATAAACTTAGATAATTATCAAGTTGGGAGTCTATTACAAAAACAGCTGAAAAATACATACGTAATACAAATATTTTTTATTCTAATCGTTTTAGTGGCCTTAGAAGCGCACGCGATCATTCTTATTTCTCTTGTGTAAAATACGCGCTTCCGAAACTCATTCCTAATAATTGCGTGTCCTCTCTTTAATAATTTTAAATTGTCATCCAGTTACTATATATTATCTAACGCGAATATACCGAAATTAGTCTTATTACAATAAAGCCCACGTGGAGACAGAAGACTAAAGTAGTCATAAATTATTACTTATTTTATGATCTGCCTAAAATTAGTTAAAACATTCCATGTGTTTCATCGTGTGCATTTATATACTGAGAATTTTTTTTCAAATGATATTTTCTAGCAAATTTGAAACCAAAAAAATCCAGAATGAGGTAGTAATTGATGTATAATATACGACTGTAACCGTGACTTAAAACTTCTTCACTCGACTTGCTAAACTTTCAATATAGAATATTGGATGAAAAATGCCGATTTTGTATATAATTGCGTGCTTATATATTCTGCTATATATATATATATATATACATATATATATATATATATATATATATATACATATCGTTAGCTCATTATTATTATTATTATTATCGTCAAGGTCCCGAAACTCATCTCATGTGGAACCAATGCTATAATCTTATTATGCAATGTTTTGTTTGCATTTCATAGGCATTTAACTGAGAAAAGTTAGCTTATTGACATGTTTTCAGAGAAGTAATATGTTAACACGATTATATTTAATTACGTATTTCTAGAAATCAATCACGTTATTTCAATCATATATGTAAATTGCTATAAAAATACCACTGCAATAAAATAAGAGGTATATCATACTTACAATAACGTTAAATAAAAGATATTAGTAAATGAAACTTGGTTATTTACATTTTAAGAATTTTATAGGAATTTATAAACATTTGACTTGAAATATACATATTTTACACCACCTAATTTCAAGAGAAATATGCCTGCATAATACAAAGATACAAAATCATGACAAATATATATATCGAATGATAAATGTTCTCATCCATCTCATTTTCCATTTCAGAAAGTGATCCCCATCATCGCCACCGCTATTAGACACTTATCAGCAGAATCTACTGATCTCAAAGCAGTTTTAGAAAAAATTATACCTAGAGAACAACAAAGAGTCAAAGAATTCCGTAAATCTCATGGAGCCACCAAAGTGGGAGAAGTCACCGTTGATATGGTATGTATTGACTTCAAAAGGCCTTAATCAATTTGTTTCAAATCATTCTTTGAATTAAATCAAAAGCAATTTTTATATGCTAACGAATATGAAAAAAAGTTATAATTTAAGTATCAATACTTTCACAGATGTATGGTGGTATGCGTGGTATTAAGGGATTAGTCTGTGAAACTTCAGTATTAGACCCTGAAGAGGGCATCCGTTTCCGAGGCTTATCTATCCCAGAATGCCAAAAAGTTTTACCCAAAGCACCAGGTGGCGAAGAACCTTTACCTGAGGGTCTTTTCTGGTTATTAATCACCGGTGAAGTACCAACCGAGGCTCAAGTTAAAGCACTGTCAAAGGAATGGGCTAACCGTGCCACATTACCAGCTCATGTAGTCAGTTTATTAAATAATATGCCTAGCAACCTTCACCCTATGTCACAGTTATCATGTGCCGTCACAGCATTAAACAGTGAGAGCAAATTTGCAAAAGCCTACAGTGAAGGAGTCAACAAAGCTAAATACTGGGAGGTAATTGAAAGGTTACTAGTTTTCTTATGTAAAACTTAATGCCTGCACCTAATTTCTTTTATAAATCAATTTGTTTTAAATATTTTTCTGCATAAATGTGTTAATTCGAATATTATTTTTTCCAGTATGTATTTGAAGACAGTATGAACTTAATTGCTAAACTGCCTGTAGTAGCAGCAACAATATACCGCAACACATACAGGGATAGTAAAGGAATTAGTGCCATTGATACAAACAAAGATTGGTCTGCTAATTTCACAAAAATGTTGGGTTATGAGGATGAAAAATTCACTGAATTAATGCGTCTATACCTCACCATTCACAGGTAAATTATAACAAGTTTGTTATAACTTAGAAAATTGGAAACAGGTTTTCCATCATTACATTTGATATTATTTATTAATTAATAAAATTTTAGAAATGAAATGATATTCTATGAATATTTTAATATAAAGTTATCTTACCTGACATTTTTATGCTTCTAGTGATCACGAAGGTGGCAATGTATCAGCGCATACAGTTCATTTAGTAGGATCAGCCCTCAGCGATCCCTACCTCTCATTTGCTGCAGGTATGAACGGTTTAGCTGGCCCATTGCACGGTCTTGCTAACCAAGAAGTACTTATTTGGCTGCAAAAGATGCGCAAAGAACTTGGTGACAATGTTACTGAAGAACAAATGAAAGAATTTATCTGGAAGACGCTCAAGAGTGGACAGGTTTGTAGATAATATAATAAGTACACAAGTTAAACTAATTGACATAATGTAAATAATATAATAGCCAATGGATAGATAGATAAAACCACCAAAAATCTAATAATTTAGAAAGTATTTGCCAAAAATATGGTTCATGAGCTCTTTTGATATGGATAAAGTAATAACTTTTGTTGAAGATTCATAAAAATCAAATTCTGTATGGAATTAAAACTATAACTTACCTTTTTAGTTCTTATGTAAGAACAAAATTCAGCATAATTCTTGCACAAACATTTAATTTAATTATAACAAAAACTAAAATTGTACAACACTACACAGCAACTGACACTTTTAAACGAAACCTGTCAAAACTGAAAGATGCGAAAGTAATCTTTTTTAAGATAGTTTAATAAAATTCATGTTTTTTAAGGAATTGAAACTGTAGCTCACTTCTTCAATTTTTATTTTTAATAAAATTTGACAACAGTTCTTCACATCTACACACACCAACTGCCTTTTTTAAACTGAAGCTGTCAAAACTATTAAAATGCTTTTCTAGTGAAGTTAGGATTCTCATAATACCAACTGCAAAAAATAAATTAATGGACATTAATATTTGAAACATTTTCCTTATCTATGATTTGAAAGTTATAAATGTCAATGAATTGAGACTTCGTACACATTTAGAAAATCTTTAACAATTTAATTAACTTGCATTAGTTGGTCACAATATCTAACCTCTTTTTCGCCATTAGCAACCAATGTTGGCACAACTGAAACGTTTTATTCATATACCTAAAATTGCAAGATTATTAAATAAATTATTTAAAAATGATTAATTATTACTATTATTTTATTTCCAGGTTGTGCCCGGATATGGCCATGCTGTACTTCGTAAGACAGACCCCAGATATACATGCCAAAGAGAATTTGCTCTGAAACATTTACCGAACGACCCACTCTTCCACTTGGTATCTACTGTATACAAAGTAGTTCCATCCATTTTGCAAGAAACAGGAAAAGTAAAGAACCCATGGCCAAATGTAGATGCTCACAGTGGAGTTTTATTACAGGTAAAATTATTTGAATTGCATTGAAAATAAAAATCATGCACAAGATCTATAACTGATTTTGTATTTTAGTACTACGGCTTGAAAGAAATGAACTACTACACAGTTCTGTTTGGAGTTTCACGTGCTCTTGGTGTTTTGGCTTCTTTGGTTTGGGACCGTGCCTTAGGTTTACCAATTGAACGCCCGAAATCTATGTCTACAGATGGATTAATGAAAGCACTTAAAGCATAAGACAATAATAGAAAGTTATTTTATTTCTGTGAAAACATTTTTTAAGTATGGTCAAAAAACTTACATTTTTTATTAAAATATTTCCATTATATTTAATTTGAAATTATGCAATTAGTAATGTATGTAAATTTACCATTGTTATAGAATATAGGCTAATATTTATTGTGAAATATGTATTTAAAAGTATCATTAAACACACTTGTATAGTTTGTATAATTACATATATGTTTGTAAATTTGTGCATTATTATAATATTCTGACAATAAACTTGTCTCTGGGATTTTTACAACATCCTCTATATGCGTTTTTTTTAATATTTATTTCACAAATCAATACGTCAACAATTCGCTCTCGCTATGATATAAAATAAATATAAATTTTGTATCAAATGCACATATTGTTATTTTGATGTTTTGAATGTATGATATAGATGTCAATCCACATAATCTAGTAATCTGAACAAGATATATTTCATATTTACAATTTTAACAATCAATCATAATGCCGCTAAATGCAAATAAGTTATCAGAGGCATGCCATGTAAGTAGTATAAGGTAATTAGCGTTGAAATATTTTATATGACCTATGTTCATTTCTATAAAACGTGAAAACAGTAAAAAAATATTAGTACATAATTAGCGAGAGCAAAATATAAAACCTTCGTTATCGTTTAACGATGTTAGGATTACATGCTATTATAGAATACAATAGTTTCACACCCAAATATACTTAAACAAAATGAAAAAGCCTTAAAATTAAGTGTTTTTATGATTCAAATGAGTTTTTTATATAGATTGGTTGGTGTTTTGGCCCATCTAAGGCTAAATATTTCAAATGAATTAGAGATTAAATTAAAACTCAACATAAACATTACTGCTATCAAAAAAATTTACTAATTAATTCAAGTTAATTTTTTAAATTTCATACAGAAAGTTGCCCCAGTTATAGCTACATCTTTAAACCATGGAATTGCTGAATCAACAAACCTTAAGACAGTTTTATCCAAAATAGTTCCCATAGAACAAAACAAGGTGCAAGAATTTCGTAAGGCACATGGAAATAAAAAAATCTGCGACGTTACTGTCGACATGGTATTGATTATACTACTTCTGCGGTATATTAAAGATCAGATATTATTATTTATTTATTACAAATTACTTAAAGATATACGGTGGTATGCGCGGTATGAAAGGATTAGTCTGCCAAACTTCCGTTTTGGACCCCGACGAGGGTATTCGTTTCCGTGGTTTATCTATACCAGAATGCCAAAAGCTCTTACCTAAAGCAGAAAATGGTGAAGAGCCTTTACCTGAAGGTCTTTTTTGGTTGTTAATTACTGGTAAAGTACCGACTGAGGAACAAGTCAAAGCTTTATCTAAGGAATGGGCAGAACGGGCTACGTTACCAGCCCATGTTGTTTGTTTATTGAACAACATGCCTCGAAAACAACATCCAATGTCACAATTTTCATGTGCAGTTACTGCTTTGAATAGTGAGAGCAAATTTGTGAAGGCGTATAATCAAGGAGTTAAAAAGAGCCAGTATTGGGAGGTAAATTATATGATATTCGATGGGCAATTTATATACATACTTAAAAACATCCAAATTATAAACTAAAGTCTATAAATTCTAGAAAAAAGTGATTCAAAATTTATCGAAATGCCCTTTTTCATAGAAATACGTTTCAGCATTAATCTAAAAATAATCTTAACATGGATTGGAATTAATTCTCTATCTGTTATATTGCAACTTTGCTGAATATTAGGGAATATTCTGGAAATAGCTTCTATTAGACTCGCGAGAAAAATTGCTCTAAAATTTTTCTGTCGATTAATTTCATAGCGAGTTGAAATTTTATTGCTTCATCCTCATCCTTTTGCGTATTTTTTGTAACTCTAACATAGAAAAGTTTCATAAAATACCATAGCCAATGATATTAAATATAATAACATAACATAACCAAGTATTATAACAAATATTCATGGTAAAAAATCTTTTCACGTCCTCATTTAATTATTTTGAAATGTTTAATTTTTTATTATATGCTTTATCAAAATTTCATAGTTAGTGGCAAAACTTATGGCAAAAAATATAATGCATTTTTATTGGGTTTTATTAACTTCATATATGTTTACAAAAACCTATGTTTCGTAAATAATTTATATTAAAAAAATGTATAACCTACGCAAAATAAAAATAGACTTTTTCATATTTTTTATAGTATGTATTTGAAGACAGCATGAACTTAATAGCAAAACTTCCGGTAGTAGCTGCTACAATTTACCGGAACACCTACAGAGATGGTAAAGGGATTGACGCTATTTGTACAAAACTGGACTGGTCTGCCAATTTCACAAAAATGCTTGGTTACGAAGATGAAAAGTTTACAGAGTTGATACGGTTATACCTCACTATTCATAGGTAGGAAAAACATCCAAACTATCAGTAATATAGATAAATTTTATATGCAAAAAATGAATCTTACCTGTATTTTTTAAGCGATCACGAAGGTGGCAATGTGTCTGCTCACACAACCCACCTGGTTGGATCAGCTCTGAGTGATCCGTACCTGTCGCTCGCTGCAGGTTTGAATGGATTAGCAGGACCTCTGCATGGACTCGCAAACCAGGAAGTCCTTGTCTGGTTTATGAAAATGCAGAAAGAACTCGGAGACGATGTATCTGAAGAAAAAATGAAAGAATTTATTTGGAAAACTCTCAAGAGCGGACAGGTTTATTATTGTCATAATATTTAAGTAATTTTATTACTTAAATATTGAAATTAATGTAATAAATTAGGTTATACCTGGTTATGGGCATGCTGTTCTCCGAAAGACTGATCCGCGTTATATATGCCAAAGGGAATTTGCTCTTAAACATTTACCGGATGATCCACTATTTAAATTAACATCTACAGCGTATAAAGTGGTACCACCTATTCTCACAGAATTAGGGAAAGTCAAGAACCCTTGGCCAAATGTGGACGCTCATAGTGGTGTTCTGTTACAGGTATAAAAAAAACTTATGTAATAAATCATAAAAAATATTTTATGAAAACTTTTTATACTTACTCCATTTAAATTGACAATTTTTGGAATTCAAAGTAAATGTCCATAAGGCTGCTTGTTTTCTCCATAAAAAAGTAGTTTTATAGGATAAAGAAGTTTATTAGGTTTGAGATTCGTTTTTTATATTATTAACAAGAATGTGATACCTCGAAATTTATTCATTTAAGGTCCTAAACTATTATCATTCTAGCATTACGGCATGAAGGAAATGAACTTCTACACCGTCTTATTTGGAGTATCACGTGCTCTTGGTGTTTTGGCCTCTTTGGTTTGGGATCGCGCCATGAATTTGCCAATTGAACGACCAAAATCAATGTCCACAGATGCACTGATCAAAGCCGTCAAGGAGAACTAAAAAAAACACGAATTATTTTAGTTTAACTGAAAATTTTAAGGCAGCACGTAGAATTATATTTCTGAAAAAAAATTATATAATGATAATATAAATTTCATAAAAAAATAATAGTATTTTGACTTTTCATTAATTAATATTAATTATAAATTGAATTTTGTTTGAATATATGCTCAATATATCTATAAAAATATGGAATACGATATATTAATCAAAAAGCCAATGTTAAAAATTTGACATTAAACCTGAAATATATTTCTTGAAATGATATCCAATGGAATATTTTCATGTAAGAATAATACCAGTAATGTTAAAAAATATATATTTATACATATTTTCTATATTCTCTATTATTACTATGTTTATATAATTTAATTAATAAATATATGTTTCGATTTGAGTACACTATCGAGGGACTTTACTCTAAACTACTTTACTGATTTCATCTTTTGGACCAGCAACTATATCAGCAAGCATCATACAAAAATTTTAAATATTTGGTTTGGCTTTTGAGTATTTCCATATAAAGTGCTATAATATATATAATTAGATGAAAGTCTGATGAATGGAATCATGGGACTTAGGTAAATAATTATACAAAATAACGGAAATATTTTTATTTCTGTGTATATATAATATATTATGATATTGTATAGGTATATATTATATATGTATTTCCTATAAATTTCGTACATGGCGCATAAAATATTTTATAAAAATTTGAGTACGAAAATATGTATAATTAATATTATAGCACTTCGTAAGGACCCAGCCCGATATTAGATTTAAATTTCTAAGTTTCCATCAGCATTGAACATGTTGCACTTTCGATGCCGACATGGCTAATTGTTTTCTAATAGCAGCTAATTCAAATTTCAATTCAATATTTTCGCGTTCCAAAAACGCAGCACGAATGGCTATTTCATCTTCTTTAACTCTTCGTCTATCCCTCGACTTTTTAGCGGCGGCGTTATTCTTTTTCCGGCGTTCATAATAAGCTGAATCCTTCGTGGAATCAGATTGTTCGTTAGGATTTGGTGAACCAGCACTAGATGTGACTGTAGGGCAACGTCTCATTTTAGGATTCGAAATTGTGGCCCGACCACCATTTGATGCCCTGATCTGTTGTAACATTCTTTCGCGAAAAGCGCAATATTTTTCAGTAGAATTCATATCTATTGTGGAGTCTGCAGTTGCTGTGAAACCAGCGGCTAAAGCTAATGGATCTCTAGGATATGCTTTGAATGGGCGAACGGACTTGTTGTCGAAGCTTACGGGCTCTGGACTTCTCAGCTCCGGGGATGTCAAAGGCGTTAGTTGGGCTGGAGTAAGTAAAATCTGTGGTTGCTGATATGCCGCAGCTTTCAACATGAATGGCGATACACTATCTTCTCTAATTTCAGTTCTGCAAATAAAAAAATCAATTAATATATAATAACGTATGGTATTGAAATTTGTATAAAAAAATATTTAAAAGTTTGTGCGACGATCGGCAAAGCCTTTCTTTGTAAATTGCAGAAAAGTGAAAATTATTTCGTCCACGTTATAGGCCGCAATTCTGAAGCGATTTTGAAAATTCAAAAACCATTCGATAGATATTGGTTGGGAATCATGCTGATTAGTTTTTGTTAAAGATCGGCCGGGCCGTTTTCTTGTAATAAAGTTTTTTTAAAAAAAAAATCGACGATTTTTATTATTATTATTTTGACGGTAGATACCATAGTTTTCTAGATCATACTAAAAATTACGACCCTACGACAAGCCGTTTAATTTTGAAAATTCTTCAAAGTTTGCAAAAATTAGTATCGTTTTTTTGGCATTTGTCAAAATTAGACTTTTGATCGACGTTTTCTCAAAAACGCCTGAACCGATTTCAGAAATTTAAAAGCCATTTGATGTATCTCCATGAGGACTATCGTCTGTCAGTTTTGTGATACGATCTGCCAAACCGTTTCTTTGTAATTTGAAAAAAAGTGTTAAAATTTTCGTCCACATTTAACCTCAAACTACCGAACCGATTTTGAAAAATCAAAAACTGTTTGAAAGACATTAGATGGGAAAGATAGTGATTAGTTTTAGATAAAAATCCACCGAGCCGTTTTCTTGTAATTAATTGTTGGAAAAAAAATGAAGCCGATTTTTATAGAACTTTTTTTGGAGAAATAAATCATGGTCTTATAGAACTTACTGAAATATTGCGGCCTTACGATAAGTAATTTAATTTTAAAAATTCATCAAAGTTTGAGAAAATGAGTTGTTTTTTTGATGTTTGTTGAAATTAAAATTAGACAATTTACTTGGTATAACGATAGAGTGCTTGGTCTTAATAAACATACTATACCATTAAAGTCCTATGGAAACTGGTTCAATTATAAAAATAATTGATTTTTGAAAATTTGCTTTCAGAAAATACTCCAAATTAACGAGTTTGTTCGTTTTCAATTATGTGTTATAAATCCACTCGGAATACTTTTAATCATTCATAAATTAATTTATATTTTATTGATTAAGTCGATTATTTACACATATCGGGAAGTTCATGTAACTTGTCTCAAGACAAAATACTAATACCAACTAGTTTTATAATTTGTTCAAACTATGTTAATTAAGTTATTAATTATTCAGTTTTACTTTAATTATTTTGTTATACGAATAATACAGATATTTTTTATCAATGATCCAATAATAAAAAAAGTAATCCACAAAAATATAAAATAACCAATTATCAATCTAAATGCCCTGTAAATGCTAGAAAAATTATCCATCGTATAGTCTAATCGATCAACAAAATTTCTAGTAAATGTATAATACTATTATTTCAATTAAACTTCACAAAACATCTATAATAAGTTAAACCTTACCTATAATTATTAGCCATATAGTCTTCTGTCTTAATACTATCGCTTCTTCGCAAATCTAAATCCATATTCCCATTATATTTCATATAACTTTGTGAAGTCTGTGGAGATCCAGCTTCTCTGGACGACGTGGCTGAATATGCCGGTGATGGAGTTTTCCTGGTCTCGACCGAATCGCCACGCCTGGACCTGGACAGATCCAGAACGCTCGGATATTCATCAGGGTACATGCCGTACAAAGGGTGCATCGACATGGCAAATTATAAAGGACCTAAAAATAAACAATATATTGAGAAAATGGATTCTGTTATTTTTTAAATTAATATAAAAGAATAATGACAAGCATGATAATAATGTTAAACTCCATCAAATATGTCCATTATTATATTTATGTTAATCTTTATAATTATAATTATAAATATAATTAAATATATTATAAAGAAATTGAAGATTAAATATATCTATAGATAGAAGATCTAAATATTTAATTAATTTAAATTAATAGAATAATGAATAGAAATATTAATAGAATTTGAATATTCAATTAATTTAAATTATTAGCATAATGAATATTCTATCTATAGATAGAAGATTTAAATATATTTTATTTATAATAAATATTATATTGTTGTATAATGAAATAGACAAATGATATGTATATATAAAATATGAAAATTATTTCATAATCTCTCATACCAGACACACCTGTCTGAATGAGATATAAATATAATATATAAATAAATAAAAAAAAATTAACTATTAAATTTAATTTTCAACTATAGTTAAGTCGAGAATTTGTGTTAGATGAAACGAGATCTATAAAATATTTAGTTTTAATTACAAAGTTTTTGAAGTTCTGTGTAAACAGATACAATATGTCGATAATATCTTTGATGAACTTAATTCTAAGATTTATGATTAAAAAAGAAAAAATATTAAAAATTAAATTTAAATTAAGAAAGCGATTAAATAATTATGAATGGATCGGCATAAAATATAATATAGAAAGCGATATTTATCAGGGTACATGCCGTACAAAGGGTGCATCGACATGGCAAATTATAAAGAACCTAAAAATAAACAATATATTAAGAAAATGAATTCTGTTAACTTTTTCAATTAATATAGAACAAAAATAATAAGCATGATAATAATCTTAAACGTCCATCAAATCTGTCCATTATAATTATAAACTTAATTAAATTTTTGACTATTAAATTTAATTATCAACTTAAGTTAAGTCACAGATTAGTATTAGATCAAACGGGATTTATAAAATATTTAGTATTTATTACAAAATTTCGGAAGTTCTGAGTAAACAGATATGATATGATGATAATATCATTGTTGAACTTAATTTTAATATTTATGATTAAAAAAAAAAATTAAATTTAAATTAAGAAAGCGGTTAAATAATTATGAATGGATTATGATAAGCTTTTAATTGCGAATTATAGTAATTTTTGTTAAATATATTTATTGCTAGAGCAAGATATTATTAAAAAAAAACAACCTAATATCGATATTGTTAAAAAAAATAGAGATATCAATTTTGACTTGGAAATATAGATTTTAAATTATAGATATTAAAACTAATTAGCACGTCTCCTTGTCAATAGGAATCTTATGTTTTTTGAATCATTCAAATCGGTTGATTCGTGTTCTCGAAATTGTCGTCAAAAATTGCATACGCACATACACACACATACATCAATTTCTTTTAAAGTATGCCAAAATGTTTAGAAACATTTGAAATGTAGAGATATATAAAAATTTTCATTTTATAGTTTTTTGTGATTACTATAACTTACCCTACGGGAAGTTAATAATTAGTCAGCCCGATAAATTCCAATAATAAAATAATCAAAAATGGATGGATCAACCATTGGGTTACCATCTAAAGTTTCAGATTGATGTCAAAACATGAGAATAAAACAAATATTCAAGAAATAATTAATTATACATAAATATATAAAAATCTCACATCGAGTGCTTATATAATATCAAAACAAGCTATTATACACACTTTAGATTTAATGTTAAAATATAAGATCAAAATTAATTCGCCAATTTAATCATCCCATGCACACTTCACACTTCTAACTACACTGACAACTAATGCATCAACGGAATCTCGAAATCAAATGTCGTATCCCACTATATCATTAATATTTTTAAAACATTGTATCTACAAAATTAAAAAAGACAGATTAGTTTTTGAAAATTAAACAAAACATACCGCAGATATGAAAGCTAATTCAAAATCCAATCCAATGTATCTCAACAGGATGACGGCGAACCAAATATTATCAACAGCGTCTATAATGTTGCAAAACTAGACAACTTAGCACCACAAACACGCACCAACATCAAATTGCATACTGACCGTTCGCACGGCGAATGCCCATCTTTATATATGTCAAAAGTTTTGGCCCTGTGCGAATTTCTAGCCAATCGCAACGGTGCATTTTTGGCAAAGGGTAAACAACTTAAACTCAACACTGCAACGCAAGAATTTTGGGTAAATTTTGGAATTAGGCACGCGGGCGGGCGCAGTGGGAGATTTCGTTCGTCTCTTGCTTTTTTCGGTAATAACATTAGATTTGTTATTGTATTCATTCAAAATACTTAAGCATTTCCATACACACGCTATTTGACGGATTGCAATAAGTATTCACTCTTGTGGTACTGACCTGCGCAAGTATAGAGAAAAATTCATAATATGTTTTAAGAGTCGACAGGATCTTGCGTTGTAAAACGGATGTTATGCATTTTGATGACATTGTTGCTGTTTCTTTTATACGCTTTGTAAAAAAATGTTTACATTTGATGTATTGCTTCGTAGATTATAGATTGATCTAGATTTAATGAAATAACTGCGCTAATAGATTTTTACTTTGAGCATATATGGGCTATCTACTGTATATATTTATTTAATTATGTTGACAAATTCTGTGAACTTTAGTAAATCAATAGATAAGGGCCGAAGGTTTGCTTAGAAAGTTCAAATAAAAATATAGTTAATTGCATATTATTCGTATCTATTTTTATTTTGCGCTTAAATATATAGGGTAGGACGAGACACAAAGGTCCAATTTGACTTTATGCAATGGATGAAAATCAAGCCAACTATATCAAAATATACCTAGTAGACTCGCCACTGGGTGTTGCTACTATCTTCTTTATATTGTAAAATAATTATTGTTAGCAATATCTGCTTAATGTTAATGTGCATGTAAAACAGATTGCAGAATAAATTAAATAAAAAAAAACTACATGAAAATAAATAACACATATTAAATAAACAACTATCTATTTATGTTTAGTAAAATTTCTAGCTAATTTAACTATGTAGAACTATGTTATTTTTCGTAGAACTATATCACCTGGACCCTTTTACCCCATAGGCGGATTAAAAAAAGGACAGAAGCTAACAAAAGATCCACAGTTTTATTTTAATTTTAAAGAAATTTTATAGAATAATAGCTATATTATACATATTATTTGTATTTGTTTTTATTTTGCGCTTAAATATATAGGGTAGGACGAGCCACAAAGATCCAACTAGATGTTATTTGACTTTATGTAATTGATGAAAATCAAGCTAACTACATCAAAACAAATAATACATTTTAAATAAACAACTATCCATTTATGTTTAGTAAAACTCCCAGCTAATTCAACTTTGTAGAACTATGCTATTTTCCGTAGAACATAGTCACCTAGTCCTTTTTACCCCATAGGCGGAGCAAAAAAGAACAGCCAGACGCCAAATAGATCCACAATTTTATTTTTAATTTTAAAGAAATTTTATAGAATAATAGCTATATTATACATATTATTTGTATTTGTTTTTATTTTGCGCTTAAATATATAGGGTAGGACGAGCCACAAAGATCCAACTAGATGTTATTTGACTTTATGTAATTGATGAAAATCAAGCTAACTACATCAAAACAAATAATACATTTTAAATAAACAACTATCCATTTATGTTTAGTAAAACTCCCAGCTAATTCAACTTTGTAGAACTATGCTATTTTCCGTAGAACATAGTCACCTAGTCCTTTTTACCCCATAGGCGGAGCAAAAAAGAACAGCCAGACGCCAAATAGATCCACAATTTTATTTTTAATTTTAAAGAAATTTTATAGAATAATAGCTATATTATTCAATCAATGCAATGCAAAGAGGGAGGGGTATGGTAAGATATCACGTGTATTAGTTTTTAAATATTAAATCTTATTCACATAAATCATAATAAAATAAATATTTTGATAAATATTTCAATAACTATTATTACTGTGAGTTTATATCAAAAGATTCAACGCCCTGAGAGTTGCAATATTGCGACTCTATCAATGGGCCGGTCTTTCGAATTATTTTCATAGGACACACCCTACGCCCTATGGGTATCATCGCAAAACCCGCACGCGCTACTATTTGTGCAAGTTTCCATTGAAATCAAAATATTATATTATTACAAAAACAATTTTAATATATTATTTATGCTGGTATTTGTTGAAAGATTAATTGCAAATTATACTTATAAATTTATTTCAATTAATAATGTCTGAGGAAGCATTTGATAACGTTTCGACAGCTTCAAATTCAATTCATTCATAATACTTAAAGTTGCTAGACTGGGTAGGTACGTAAATATTCGGACTATACTGTAAATTTGTTTGTTTTATATTTATTCAAATTAAAAAATCGAAAGAATATTTATGCCAATTGAAAATGTGATATAATTTAAAATAGTAATCTAAAAGGAAAAATTTATAACTCTGATAACATAATGAGAATGGAAAAATATTGGGTTTAACCGAATTAACAATTTAGTTTAATAGAATAATTTCTCGTCAACATTCAAATTGATATTTATAATTCGTTTTAGTAATACGTATAATAATTTGGGTTTACTTCAAATAACAAATTATGTTAGTGCGTGATATTTCCCAAAAAATAATTTTTATATGCCTTTGAAATTGATTTGTTTGATCCCCTCAAAATTAATGGTTATAGATGTATATTAACTATTTAATTTTATTATTTCTATATGACACTTTATTAATCATTCATTGCATTGGATATGTGATTGTTTTTTCATTCAGTTTGGACATGTTTTATATCATTTCCTTAATGCAATTCAATGCAGTATGTATATATTCATTATATATGCATCTGCAGTTAAAACAAAAATCTATATAAAAATATATTGCAAAGTAAAAAAATATGTATATTTAAAAAATTA